TTCGAAGTCACCATCTGGAATGGGGCGCATAGGATGGAAAAGTTCCCCATTGTTTCCAGCTGTTGGAGATGCATCTGGTGCTGCTCCGCTTTGCTTCTGCTCGTTGGTAGCGGCTGTCAAGTCCAATTGAATTGACACAAAGCAACGACTTCTGCTCCTCGAAACGAGTTGGCATGCTGGCAGTCTTAGGCGTCATGTTGATCGAGTTTATCCTCTTCTTTGTTGCTTTGAAGCATCTCCTCGTGGCCTCAATGTCCCTGTGAAGAGTGACGACGCGTCCCCTGGTCGTGTAGTACTTCATCTTCAAGTGGACCATGGAGAGAAAAGCAGTCAGCTCAGCCAAAGGCGATCTTCCTAGGATGCACTGGTATAGAGACGAGCACTTTATGACTAGGAAATGGACTTTGACCTGTCTGGCGGTTTCCTCGGACCCAAAGGTGACGAGCAGCTTAACATAGCCTCAAAACTTAGTGGTGGTGCCATTGAAGCCTTGTAGGTCGGAGCCTACATATGGTGTCAGATGCCTCTCGTCGAGCTGAAAAGTGGTGAATAAGTGAGCATACATAATGTCGACGGACCTCCCTTAGTTGACCAGAATGCGGCGGACGTTGAAGTTTGCCATCTATGCTCTGATGAGCAAAGGAATGTTGGAGTTGGGAGAACCGTTTGACAGCTCCTCCATGTAGAAGGTGATGGGGTTTGATTTCCCCTGAAACCTGTCGAGGATCGCATTCTGGTTTGAGCTTTTGTCGATCAGCTTGTTGAACTTTCTCTTCACCGACCCCATAGAAAGCTTGTTGAATCCTCTGCCACGAAGGAGGGGAAGTTCTCATAGGTTCTGTGAGTAGACAAGGGCATGGCGACCTCGTCAGGGATGTAGAAGTCCTGGGGCCGAGAGACGCACAAAAAAACCTGCAACCTAGTGTCGTCAGAAGGCACTATTTCTTTCTCGACCTTTTTTGCTTGCGAACGGCCTGTTGAGGAGCTTCACTTCTCTTGACGTATTGCTTCAGGAGTCCTTTCTTGATCATAATTTCGATTGCATCCTTGAGGTGGATGCAGTCTTCCATGACGTGCTCATGGCTCCTGTGGAACCGACAATACTTGGATTTGTCGACATTTAGCTTGGGGGCGTCGGCCTGGGAAAACAGACCCCCTTGTTAGAGTTTTGAGTTTGCACACTTGGCCAGGATGCGCTCACGGGGAGCGGTAAGTAGTGTGTACTCAAAGAAGCGGCTTGCTAGTCTACGGTGCTCGCGGGAGTCGCGGGGCTTATCCTCTCTTCTTTTCTCCTTGCCACATCATGAAGCCACAATGTCGTCGTGCTTCGCAAATTTGGTACCCTTCTTGATCTTTGAGTCGTAGGCATTGCTGGCGACCCTTCTCTCCTCGTACTGGATGTACGCCTGGGCTTTAAGGAGAAGGGTGTCCAGCGAGTGAAGTGTCTCTACGCCCATTGCTTTGGCGAATTCGTTGTGGGGACGCAGCCCTCGCTTGGGCAAGTATCTCTTCATCCGGTCAGTCATGGAGATATGAATGGCCTATCGGTTAAATCTCTCTCTCTCTATAGTCTCAGAGAGATTCGTGTTTCCCCTGAATAATGGTCTCGAGCGACGCCTTAGATTTTGGGTGTCAACAAGAGGCGATGAAGTACCTGGTAACTACGTCTTTAGGTCCTTCTAGAAGGTGATAAATTCAGGGTCGAGGCTCTTATACCATGCTATGGCTCCATTCCTTAGAGTTATGGGGAAGAGTCGACACTTGATAGCGCCTTGGCCGTTGCGGTGATCGAGCATCGCATCGATGTTCTCGATGTGGTCGTCTAGGTCCATCGTGCCATCGTAGGTCGCTAGACTTGGTGGTTTTTCCATTCCGATGGGGATGAGGGCTTCCATAGTTACTCGGGACAGAGAACCGCGGGGGTTGTCTTTGTCACTTCAGACTGGTGGGCGCGACAGGGAGCGGTTGTGCTGAGGGCTTCTGCCGCGGCGCAACGAGTTCTTTGGTCGAATTTTTGGCTTCTCTTGTTGCCCGCCGACTTTGCTTCTTTTAGGAGCCGAGGAGCGCCGCTCCTTGTAGGGAGGAATGCGATCCCGCTTTTAGGTGATCGGGACTTGTGGTCTCTCTAAACGCGACCGACGTCTGGGCTGTCACGGGTAAGGGGCTCTGAGATTCGTCCTGTTGGTGTCTCCACAGGGAGAGTGAGGATAGGTTTCTCATCGTCGCAAGGACAGACTACGAGAAACTGAGCGCCGATATCTCAGCGGGGGAGAGCGCGATTGTCGTTCTTTCTCCATCATTCTACTGCGTCCGTTCTGCTGGAAAATCATTAGGTTTGTCTGGTTGATTGCCGCGAACAAGGCCACCGTGGTAGGACCGGTGTTGGACGACACAAGGATTGGCTGGAAAACCGTTGGACTCTCGAAATGTTGGGCGGCGTTGTAGGCCGCATTGTCGGGGGAAGAAGAGGCGATGAGCCCGTCCCTGAAGTCACCTTCTTTAACAACGGGTGCCACGTTGTTATCGTGGCTGTCATCGTCAATGAAGGTGGTTAAGGCAACTTCGTGGACGTTGTCGTCAGTGTGTTGACTGACCATGATCGAAGGAGGTTGAAGAATTACTTTGGTCCTTTGATTTTGGAGAAAGAAAAGACGGGGGAGCAAAAGTTACCATAGACGGTGCCACTGATCTTACCGGATCAGAAAGAGGATCAACAACAAGCAACACGTCATGAGCTTTAAGTTCACTAGTGGTGGAGAAGAAGATAGGGTGTACATGCAAGACACTCCAATGTCAAAGTGAGAAAGAAAGCAAGTATAAAAATTGAGTGAGTTTAGAATACCCGACCCTCCTGTGCAGAAGGGTATTTATAATGTGCCTCCAGCGTTAGGCCAACGGTCATCTGTTTTGGGCTGGATCGCAAGGCCCACAACAGATGACTGCCATAATCCTACGTGACAATAAGAAAGACCTGCATGTGGCCTTCGACCTGGGTCAACTGCCTCACGAACTCCAAAAGGTGAAGGATATGGGTAGTTGGTTGATGACGTGTTCCAGCGTGAGAAGCACGTGGAGAACGTGGGGAGGACGTGTGAGGAACATTTCCTCTTCCGGTGATGACATATTGGACCTTTGTGTTAGTTCCATGACTCTATGATTGTCCATGGTTCTATGATTGGCTAAATTTTGGTAAAATATGGTTCTGCACTAATGTTAAGCAGGATGTCATTACCAATGTCATGACATTGTTGTCTGGTACAGCAAGAGCTGATTATAGTACTGCTGTCATGTGTTTTAATCAGGATGTCATTACCAATGTCACGACATCGCTGCCTGGTACAGCAGGAGCTGCTATCACTTAATAGAAGTGTTTTGGTTTGATGAGATCCTATTGGATATATCTCATCAAGTGTGTGCAGGTCAAATATATTCACAACATGAAAATGCAAATTTAATTGGTATTCATAAAAAGGATCTTTGAGACTTTTTAGGAAACTATAATATGCTTGTGTCTACTGTTATGAAGAAGATTCTGCAGGAGTGTTCAGCAGGGTGAGTTTGGTCAGTTAAGAACAAAGTGTGTTGGATGTCATGCTGAATGTTATGACATCAAGCGTATGACATCAGCGCACGTGTTTTAGTTTTCTGGTATTTTACCTGATATATCTCAGGCTAGAATTCAGGAAACCTGTTATGACTCCTTAGTTATCTCAGGCGAGATTTCAGTCAGGACTGGGCATAACATGAAGTAGCTATGACCTAATTCGCAACATCTGAATTATGGAAATTAGGCTAACTTGGTTAAACCTAATTTATGTTATTTTTGATCAGCCCAAGCCCAGCCTGCATTGCTATTTAAGGAGGAGCAGAAGCAAAGGAAATCAAGCACTCACAATAAGAAAAACTTGAGTGTTGAATTAAGGTTTAGGGTTTTGAGAGTCCTTTGTGTGTGATCTTGTAAGTCACCCTTTGTATCTTTGGATGCATCGTGGTAGACATGTTTAGGTTGTTATTAGTACAGTGTTAATTGTTCACTCAAAGCTTTTAAGCAAGAGTGTATTTGTGAGTGAAGAGTTTTGTTCTTCACGTGTATTTGTGTGTCTTAGAAATACTTGTACACCAAGCAATTATCTGTTGTATGATTGCATTGGTCTAGAGTTCTTAAGCTGTCTGTTCACTCAAAGCTTGTAAGTAAGAGTGTATTGTTCTTGATTGAAGCTGTTAAGTAAAATCAAGTATTGTGACTTTGAAGAGTGTCTTCTAAAGTCTTCTTTTGTATTGAATTGTTTATCACTGCTGTGATTGATGGGGAGTGAGAGGGGTCTCTTGTCTAGTGGATTCTAGGCAGAAATTGCATTGGGTAGAGATTAAGTGAGGAGTTGTAAACGAGAGAGTTTAGCTCTGAATTGATTCTGCTAATAGTGAATTTCCTCCCTGGCTTGGTAGCCCCCAGATGTAGGTGAGGTTGCACCGAATTGGGTAAATAATTCATTATGTTATTTATCTTCAGCATTTACAATTCTGCACAATTTAAATGGTTAGGTAAATAGTCTGTCTGTCTGCTGATGCTACAACAGACGTCATGACTTTGGTCATGACATTGGTACAATTTAAAGTAATTTAAATTGGTCATATTCTGTCCTTGTTCTATTTCAGCAGAGATCAATGTCTTTGCATCTCTTAGAACATATGAGATCTGCATACCAGAATTTCACTTTGTATTAGACCTTTCCCAATGTAGAATTGTGTTAGACCGTTTCCGACGGTGGAGTAGGCTTAGGCTCAATCTAAAATAAACTAGTTTAGAAAATAGATAAAAAATTGGATTAATTTAAATATTTATTAAAAAAATTAGTTAGTTGAGTAAAAGTTTCACCAAATAACAATAAAAATAAGAATTATTTCTCGTTCACTATAAAATAAATTTCCCTTTCAATAAATCTCTTCAAACTCTTCTCCTTAAAAAAAAAAGAAAAGAGTAAAGAAAGAAACCTTAATCGATGATAATGGAAGACTCAAATTGGAGTTCCCAAACCAATTGGACCCTATCCTCCGGCACTCTCCATAACTGCCTCACCTTCCAAACGTCTCTCTCTTTCGGCGCTGACAACGAATCCACCACCACCGTCGAATCTCATCCTCTTCTCCTACACTCCCCCTCACCGGATTCCACCCCTTGCGAAATCACCAGTAATCATCGATTTCCCTCTCTTTTCTTTTAACCTCACAACATCACTTCTTTTAATTGCTTCTTTGTTTTTTGTTTTGCAGTTAATTTTGCAGAGAAGCACGAGCTGAGACAAATCTACGTTCGAAGCACTGCGCGAGTGTATGAGATTTACACCGCGCTTGATTTGAAATCCAGTAATGAGTATTTATGTACGGTTCGTTGTGGTGTCGCTTTTAGAGACGGCCAGGTTCTTCGTTCTCGTTGTGTTAACGATGTTGATTCTCTGTGTGATGAAAATGTTAGAAGTGAAGATGATTGGGTTGAAGTTAAAGCTGTTGATGCTACTTCGCATGCAAAACCCTATATCAACTTGACAAATACCGCTCAGGTATGAAGATTGTGTTATCTATGGTTATTTAAGTAAGATCGAAGGGGTGTGTCAATCATGTTGTGTATGATTCATATTGTGGAGATTGTCATAGGTTGATAACTGCGGTGTAGAGGCTTTAGGGGTGTTATTGTAAACTGAGCCCTAGGATTATATAAATTGCTTGGAACACTATAACCCTAATTTATAATCCTAGTTCATAAGACCAATAATCAAGGGAACTATAGCTGCTCTATAGTCCTAGAGGTAGATATCATTGGCCGAACTCCTTTAACAAAGATCGAACATGTTCCTTGTCTTTTACTTTCGTTTTTCTTTAATCTTCTATACTGGTTGTTGTTCTAACCAATCACTGACATTGTCTCAAATTATTACTGATGTTTATGTGTCAGTGTAGTGTTGATATCGTGTTTGGTTTTGGTGTGCATATGTATAGTGTAACTTAGAGGTGTAATATGAATGATTTGTCGATGTTGTAAAAGACAAATTTGAATAACACAATTTGTTTTGCTATAGTGACTTATATTGAGGGGTAGAGAGATTATTTTCATAAGCTATTCTAGTGAGCTTATTGAAATAGGCTGAACATTGTTTATAAACATGTCATAAGCTTTCCCAAATGCTTATTCCTGACTTTGGTAGATGTGTCTAAATGATTAGTTCATAAGGCAATCTAAACGTGGTCTTGGAGGCTTGGGAAGTGCTTCTTTGCCTTATTTCATAGGGTTGGGAAATGCTTATTTGCCTTATTTCATGTTTGAATACATTTATAAAAAATTTCAATAAGCTATGTAGAATACCTCATTGGTGAAAGCTCTCCATTCTCTAGAATAGTTTATTGAATACGTGCTTTAAATTAATTTTTTTACTTAAATGTGTCGTTTGTGAGCAAACAAACTATTACTATTTTTAGATTTTATTCATGGCTAATGAAGATGAATATACGATGGTAATATCATGCCAGCCACATGAACATGAATATATGATGGTACATAATATCATGCCAATGTTAGATTTGTTTTCTGAAATTAATGTCCTCTTTTTTGGCCCATAGGATCTTTATGAAGCTACAGCTGAGATCAATGACGTGAATCCTTGCATTTCTGTCACGCTTCGTCTACTCTCACTTCAGACTAAAGGCAGTATTTGTGTGGATGAGATTTATGTATTTGGCGATCCTGTTGATTCAGAAATCCAAGAAAGCCATAATGAAAACTCATCCAGCAGTTCTCTCATGGCTATGCTTTTGCCCACTTTAATGCAAGTATCCAAAACAACTGGTCGCAGTAGTCTAAATGATGTTAGAAAGGACAAAGAATTTGTTTTGGAAGATGCTATGAAGGAAACCCCCCACCCTAGTGGTTCTGTGATAGAAAATCAGCTGAAAGGGAAAAATTGCATAACTGATCCTCATGAAATTGAGCTGAAAGAGGTGAAAAGAAGTTCAGTTAGTCAGTCCCAGCCAGAAAAATTCTCTAAAACTGCTAAAATGGAGAGTGACCATCTTGCTATGCCCTCTCAAACTGCTCAAATGGACAGCAATTGCAAAGATATGACCTCAAAAGTTGCTGAAATGGAGGACCACTCCCGTGCTGTTCCCTCTAAAGGTGATTTTTCAGGGGGCAATGTTGAAAGAGCATTGGAAAAGCTTATGTCACGAATGGACAGGATAGAAGAAATCTGTTTGGGGTTTCAAGAGAAAATGGTAATGCCAATGAACAGCATTGAGGCTCGACTCCAGCGAGTTGAGCAGCAGCTTGAGACACTGTCTATGAAATGGCAAAACCCTGAAAGGCCATCATGTTATAGAATATCTGCTCCTGATGCATCTTGTATTGAATCAGATACCCACTCTTGTGAAGATTGTCTTGATTGTACTGTCATTGGAGAAATTGAGTCTGATAAGAAATCTTTACATACAGAGGTACTAAATGTATTTCCTCAAGATGACTCTCCTCAAAGGATGTCTGATTCAGAACATACGACTCAATTGCTCCCAGGTCTTGTAGTTACAGCCCCAGAGTTTTCTGAGGTCGAGGATGAAGATGATAATGCATCAGAACAAGAAATGAGTCCTTCGAATGATAAAGCAAAGCTGTCAATCGATGACGCTTTATCTTCCGCATTAGCTAATTTTTTGTCGTCTTCTCTGTCATCAGAGCTTACAAAGCATACCAAAAGTCTACATGTTAAAACTCCTGAGTTTTCAAACGAAGATGATGACCAAGAGAGCAATAACGAGCCAGTGAACAGTGACTCAGTTTGTCCCACAGACAGTGGCAAATTTATCCCCTTCCAAGTAGCTTCTTTTGAAAAGGGAGAGAAAGTAAAAAATGATCCTAATGATAAGAACTCTGAAGAGACTGCCAAAGTAAAAAATGATCCTAATGATAAGAACTCTGAAGAGACTGCCGAGGAAGCTGAACAACGGGATTTATTTTGCAAAGCACAAGGAGATAGAGACGAAGTGTGTATTGACAGGATATCAGCTGAACCTAGTCTAAGAATTGAAGACAACAAAACATCAGCTGAATTTAGTCTAAGAATTGAAGACAACAAAAATGGGAAAATCACTAGTGAACAAAATGATGTAATCTTGTCCAATATAAGTGATATTCCAAATGAGGTTGTTGATAGTCAGACCCCTAGCGATTATAGAGCCAAAGCCCCAAAAAACACCTTCCATGATTACATCATAGAGAATGTTCTTGGATTTTCACTTTCTTCACCAGTAGTAGATTTTGAAATTCCACTATTGGATGTGAAATTCATTTCTCATACAAGTCCTATTCCTGATGGTTTCCTTGAATCCTTACTTTTTGAGACACCACAAACCAGCTCAAGAGATCCATCCGTCGAGGAAAGCATTGGGGATATTTCCATTGACGACCAAGTAGCCAAATTCTTAGAATGTGAGACACCAGAAACCAACTCAGAGTCAGGAGATCTATCTATTCCCCTTGATGACCTATTCAAAGTCTTAGATGAGACGCCAGAAACCAACTCAAGAGATCCATCTGTCAATGAAAACATTGAGAATCTTTCCATTACGGACCTACTAGACAGTTTTTTCTTTGAAAGCAGTTTTGGTAAGATATTTGAAACCGTTAAGGAAAGCAATGAGGGTGTTTCCATTAAGGACCAACGAAAAGACAACAGTGATCTCTCCATTGAGGAGCACACGAACTTGATTTCAGTCAACGAATGTGAACCAGTGAATCCATCTAGCAGTACCCATTTTGTGCAGGTTGAAGATTTGTCTACTTCATTAATAGAACCTGTGAACATTGAGGGTGGTGCTCTGGCTGAAGATCATAAACGCAAGCGTGATCCTAGTGATTGGAGTCCTGATACATTTCATAGACCTTGATCATATAGGCATGATGTCTCCCTTATCTAGATTTTCAACACTCAATAGAAAGTTATTTGCTTCGAGGGTTAAGAGAAGTTAACTTTGTAGAAACATGTTGCTGTAGCTGTTGCCTGTTTATATTGGTGTGGTTGCATAGCAACTGTAAATAGTTATAAGTCGGTCGCTCCCTAGCTTTACTTGCAGGAGAATTATTAGGAACTGACATATTTCCCTTACTTACATTAACATGTTTGATGATGAGAAATTGAGGTTTTCCTTTTTGTTGTTGAGGATTTGGAAGTTCAGCCTATTCATAAGTTTAATGTATCCGCCAATGTATATTGTGAACATCTATCAAACCAATTTTATTGGTGCGGGAGTTGGTTTTGGAGGGGAAGTCTTGGGGTTGCGCCAATTTATTGCATAAACATTTAAAATCATATTTATTTATAAAAATATTAAACACAGCAAAATATAAATGCAATTTTTCAAAATCTTTCATTTCAAAATCTTCTAAATATCAACTCTAAACGGAATCTTGAATAATGTTCTCGAGAGAGATACCTTATGTCATAAAACAGCCTTAATATTACAAATCTTTTAAAAACTAACTCTTCAAACAAAACCTTAATCTTATGAGAAATAACTTATATCATATGAAAACAGCCTTCATCTTGCACTGTCCGATGATGCAATAGGTAAAAGAATCACAATTTTAAAAATAAATTTATTACTACTATTTTTTTATACATTCATCAACTTATTGTGGCTGGTTGGCTTTATTATTAAAAAGAGAAAGGGTGTAAATAATCTTCAAAATTATAATACTGAAATTCAAAAAATAACTAACTTGTTTCACATTATTATATATCAAAAATAAAATAAGCATTTTATAAATTTGAGAGAATACTTACTGGACCATAATTTTTTTTTAGTAATTTAAAGGAAACGGTTATGATCCTTGTAAAAACGGTTATGAATTTGTTTAAGAAATAAGTGGAAAAGTGAGTTAATATGAATATTTTTTTTGAAAAAGTAGGTTATTTTGAATTATTGTCTTATTTGTAAGTATTTGTATATCCTTAAACTCCTTTACTCAAAAATAGTAATTTGACAAGTTTTAAATGACCTGACATAAAACTTGATGATATAGAATACAGATTAATTATTTACATGTTATTACTTAAATAAAATAAATAATTTTAAAAACTATATATAAAAAATTTAAGAGTTTTTCTTGCAATTTTATTTAGTTGATCATTTCACAATATTGGATTGTAAGCCTTGTCAATAGATGATGGACCAAAATTAGAAGATTTTAAAATAGATGATCATAGAGGATTTTTTTAATGCATCATATAAGTTATTCAGGTATTACGTGAAAATATTTAAGTGTTTTTAAATTTTGGAGATGTATTTTCGCACACATTCAATTTTAATATTATATTAAATTTTTTTAGAGATGCATCTTCAAACTTATTCCGAAAATGTATTTCCGAAAAGTATTGAGTCTTAGATTGCACTAGACTTTTCTACTTTCTCATTTCTAAAGAGAAAATTCAATTTATCAAAAACTCAAATTTTTTCCAATCAACCAAATCCCAAATCAAACAACAAAGCTCAAGGTTATTCAATCAACATCAAGTGTATCATATACATTATCAAAGTGTAAGGTAAGCTTCTCATTTGTAAGCTTTTTGATTTTTTGAAAAGTTTTAGAGTTTTTCTATATATGAGTAGAAATTGATTAAGATAAGAAATAAATAGGAATTGCATGAATGATAGTTTAGACAGTGTAAGACATGTTTGTTGACTGAAAATGATGACCAAACCAATACTTTTTATGTTGAGATGTCTGCATTGTCGGCATTGACAGACTTGAGTTGTTGCAGAAAATTCCAGAGATGCATCTCTGAAATTTTTTAACGTAAGTTTCCTAGTAATCAGAGATGCACCTCCATAAATTCTCAATCTGTTTTTTTTATAAATATTTTTATTTTCTTACTTGTAGTGGTGCTTGCTTGCACTAATTGTCTGGTTTACTTTTACTTACATGCATTATGGCTGATAGACACAATAGGCTGAGGCACAAGAGGATTGCACAACATGCGTCAGTGCAGCGGGAGAAGAGTCAGTATTCAGAGGCTCCTGTTTACACTGGTCATGCAGAGACATCTACTTCTGAGTCTCATGCTTTTCCTCATGCTTCTCCATCTTCTTTCCATAGGAGATGAGTTTCACCTACCGATACATCACTCCTTCCATCCTCCCGCATGCACCATATTTCACCTATTCAAGCGTCAGAGGTACCCGAGTCATCGGTACCACCTCACACTGCTAATGTTGTTGAGCCAGTGCCACCTCTTACTGAGCCAATGACACCTCCTACTACTGATGATGCTGTTGAGCCAGTGTCAGCTTCAGATGGTGAGACTGCTGAGCTAGAGGCATTTGGAGGAGACCTTGTAGATTTGTCACTACTGTCTATATACTCAGACCATACTGCTAGACATATTTGGGACGAAGAGGTAGCATTAGTTGGATTTATTCTTTTAATTTACGTTTATTTTAATTTATAAGTTTTAGAAATTTATTTATTTTTCTGTAGAAACATGATCCACTGAAGATTAATAACCACATGCGGAAGATTATTGGCTTGCCTCAGCCGAATGAGGAGTGATTGTAGATAGCTTTATCCCTATCTGGGATGAAGGACTTGTGCATGATCGGTTATATTACGGTTAACCACTTGATGCTTAATGAACTTGTGGAGAGATATCACTCTGAGACCTCGTTATTTCATCTCCTGCATGGTGAGATGCCTATCACACTCGACAATGTGTTGTGTTTGCTACATCTTCCGATCATGGAGAAAATTCTATTTCATGAGAGGATTACTAAAGACGAGGCACTCGAGATGATGGTAGACTATCTGGGAGTTGACCCAATGGCAGGGATGTAGGAGTTGGATAAAACTATGGTGCTCATGCTAGGTCTGAATTTCTAAAAAAGGTATACACAAATGATATATTTAGAGCACAATAGGCTACAGGGGATGACAAGCAAACGGGGCTCCATAGAGCGTATGTTATGAGAGCATACCTGCTATATTTGGTTAACACTACGATTTTTATGGACAAGAGTGCCACTTGTATATCTGTCGTCTACCTACGGTACTTCAAGCATATCCATGAGTACAACTGGGGCGCTTGTTTGTCTACCTGTACTCGAAGCTATCAAAGGGATGTATATGGAAGCTGAAGCAGGTCATCGGAAGCATCACACTACTAACGGTAATATTTATTTGTCTTTTACTATTTCAGTGTCATTTTTATTTCATCTTTGCAACGCCATTAATGATGATTCGTGTGTTCCAAACTTTTAAGGCTTGGATCCTCCAACACTTCCAGCGCATCTCTGGATGGGCGAGTGTACCGACTTACATTGAGGATATGTCACGTGCTACTGCATTTTCCTTGCTCAGAGGGAACCATGCGATGTAGCCGTTCAGAGTGTACCTCAGCTGCTTGGTTATCAAGGACATGCATTTTAACAACTATATGAATCATTGTGAGACGCAACCATTTGACAAAATAATGCTATAATCTGGATGGTTGGTCTGCGGATCACGTTTCACTGCTCTTCATCTTCCCGAGCACTTTATGCAGCAGTTCAGCTACACTCAAACCATTCCTAGATACCTTGTTGTCTCTGCTCCTTCTAATTTGACACGTAAATAGATGGATGGGATATTTGATGATTATGATAGTCATCTGATATCAGAGGAGTCACAGAGTACCATAGTTGAGAGCGACTAAAGTTATGTCGACAGTTACATCAGGTGGTTCTTCAGGGTGTCACATCTGTACATGGTACATGATGCTCCAGGAGGTCCATAGAGGCTAACTCATTAAGAGATACTAGAGGAGAAGCAGACACAGCTAGGTCATGTGGATGATGGCTTTCCTAGATGTCGTCACTTAATGGAGATTGTGCAGGCAAGCATCGGCAGAGGTATCTTCCCTGATAGGTCTGATGTGAGGTGGGTCCTAAATGCCATCATGATAGAGGCACATGGGGCATTGGTATACCAAAGACAATGCCGGAAGGCAGGGGAGATTGATGGCCGAGGATCCAGAGGAGGTAGAAGAGGCAGAGAAGATGGAGTCTGACATACAATGTAGTGCAGTAGTATATAGTAATTGTACTTTTGTATTCATTATGAATTGTATTTTATTTTCACCTCATGCCCCGTTATCTTTACTTTTTGACATTATTTATATATGACATTTTTGGACCATTTGGATTTATATACGTCATGTTTTTCATAACAATTGTATGGTTTACATCTCGTCACATAACATTGTACATAATACTTATAAATCTTCATATGAATACACATAAACAAAATGTAACACATACTACTGTGTTTGATATGTTATAGAGATATATCTCCAAAAAATAAACGGAGATGTATCTCCAGTGCAATAAACTTGTAAAATGACTTCTGAGTGTGATGTATGGTATAATGTTTTAAATTATTACAGAGATGCATCTCTAATTCATTTAACGTTTGAAGGTGCGCCTGAAGATGTATCTCTAAAACTTGAGGGCATTTAAGTATTTTCACGTGGTGTCTAAGTAATATATAAGATGCACTAAGAAATCCTCATATTTTAAATGAACATGAAACAAAATATGCAATTAAATCCAAAGTATAATGGAGCGTGAGAAATTGTTTACTCACGTGTAACAGGTAGAAAATACGTGAATAAAAAGATGAGTTAATATTAAATGACACCAAAATATCAAACTTAATAATAAGACACATTTGATAACTCTTTACCGTCTATCCGTATAAGAAAATTAACAATTGAATTGAAAACTACTATCATATAGATTATGTATATAAAATTTAACGTTATTCAAATATCATTTGACTTGTTAATAAGACGCATAAAAATTAACATCTTATGAAGCTTTATTAAAACGATTAATTTTGATCCATCTCTTTAACA